TATCTGGTAAGTTATTGGTTTCATTGTTCTCATCAGAATCAAACATGGAAGATGATGACATTTTGTTTTTTAAAATTTTTTTGTGACGTCGTGTAACATATAATTTATTTCGAAAAAAAAAAATTTTAAAATATGAAGATTAAACATTTCATTAGATTTACTCTCATTTTCATAATTTCCAACATCTTTTTATTGGAGGTTGGTCATGCTAAGGTAACATTGGAATCAAAAGTAGAAAAGCTAAATAAAGAAACACAAATAAATAATGGAATTGTAGAGCTAGATTCGAGACTATATGAGGAATATACAGGGAAACCAAGGAATTATTCAATGATCATACTACTCACAGCAATGGAACCACGTTTAAATTGCAAACCATGCAGGTAATTTATCCATTATAATATAAAAAAAGGCAACGAAATAATTTTTTATTAATTTTTATTTGAAAAAAAAATCAATAGAGATTTTGAACCGGAATTTCAATTGGTTGCAAGTAGTTGGCTTAAAACAGCCAACGACCCATCACGTTTGTACTTTGGTGTTTTAGATTTTAGAGATGGTAAAGAGGTTTATTCGAAGGTATTATTATTCGTAAATTTGTATTTTTTTACTATATAAATCATTCATTAGTGATCAGATATTTAAAGTATTGATTATATTTCCATTAGTTAAAATTGAATAATGCTCCTTCAATATACTATTTCCCACCAACCACTGGACCATACGGAAAAGAGATTTCAGAGCCTGATAGATATGATTTTAATAAACAGTAATTTAATTTTCTCTTTAAACATAGTTATTTACATTCACATATTTATATTGAATCTGTATATCTACTTGTCTATATCATGATTGTTTAGTGGATTTTTGGCTGAGGAATTAGCAGGATATTTATCAAATAATTTGGGCACACAAATCAGAATTCAACGTCCATTCGACTACCTTAAACTTTTTATTGTCGTGTTCCTATTGATTGGATCTTTGGCTACTATCAAATTGGCATATCCATATATCAAGAGTTTCATTTGGAATAAAAATACTTGGGCCACAGTTACATTAGTAAGCACATTGCCATTTTTTATTTCATTATTTCATTATAATGATTTACACACTTTTCTTTTCCTTTTAACAAATGATATTTCCTGACAACAGGTTGTAATATTGTTGATGATTTCTGGACATATGTGGAATCATATTAGAGGGCCACCATACATAATCTCGCAAAATGGACATATCAGTTATATAGCACCAGGTTACTCTAATCAATTAGGAATGGAAAGTCAAATTGTTGCTATTATCTGTAAGTTTTCTTGCAATAATTTCTAATCATTGTTAATTAATATCAGCCAATTTATAATAATTGAGTTTTTCGTAGATGGTGTTTGTGCATTCTCTGTAATTTCTTTGATAACATCCGTACCTAAAATCAATGATAAAACCAAACAAAGATTTACAGTATATGTAAGAGAGTTTATAATTCTCATTATCTCTTAAAAAATTGTTATTATATAATGCTAATTAAAAATATTATTAATTATCATTACAGCTTTGGATGGGAGTCTTGGTTGCAGTTTATAGCGTGTTATTTTCATTATTCAGATTAAAAAATCCTGGATATCCGTTCAAATTATTTATTTGATTATTTATTTTACCTTTTTATTTAATAATAATAACAAATAAATTGTAACCGCTTGTAACCTGTGAACCTTACCACGCCTCTTATCTATGAATAAAGTTAATCTCAAAACATAATTTGGGGCATGCTGCAACAAAATCAGGCAAAGTGAACTAGTGATTTTGTGTATCAAAATTTTTAACGTCACTGATTTTACAAATTACCTCTGTTTTGAATGCATATTTTTACTATACCTCACAATCACATTTTCATTTAAATACATGCTTATTTTTCGACATCTATGAAAAGTTTATTAAGAGAGACAATTTCGGCTAACTACTAATAAAATCAATTGTTCCAACATCGACAACACCTCCATTTTCATGAATAATAATGATTCATTTTATCTTATTAGTATGGATGGTATTGTACTAGTGCTTTAGTGGTGATGACTCAGATTTGCAATACTGATTTTTTTTTTCAAATAAAACTCAATAAACATGATATTATTATTATGTGTAAAAGGAATTCAATTATTTTAAAAAAATCAAAGATTTATAATGATTTCCAAATAAAAAACTTATTGAAAAAGGAGAATTTCCGGTCATTTGCTTTAAAAAATTAGCCAAAATCATGCCCTAGAAGAATATAGGCAACAAAGTGCTGAATTGTTTAATAAAGAAGTGGATTTATCAAAATTTCTTTTAATTGCTACTACTTCCCACGAAGCTGAAAAATTATCAGCTCCTTTGCTTTCTTACTTAGATTGAATCAATGTGGACATTAGTTCAACCAAAAAAAATTTTTCTTGGACAAGTATTATCACTGATTTTTAATAATGCCTTCATTCATGGTTAATTTGATCCTTATTAATCTTGCCACTAGTTCCAAAA